AATTTATATTTTTCCAGATTTTATTTATTTCATTTACTATTTTATTTTTAATTTTTATTCCAACTGGGCCGGACTGGCCCAAATTCTTTTAAATTTTTCTGGCCCATATTAAAACAATAGCCCAAGAAGACAGACCCCAGCCTATAGGCTGGGTCGTCTTCCTCGCCAAAACGCCGGAAGATGGTGAAAACGCAGGAAAAAAAATGCTTACTTCACCGGACGTGTGAACAGCGGCGGTGCACTCCTTCTGGGACGGCGAAGATTGGTGGTGGGTTGGCGGCAGCGGCGGCTCCTCTTTCTACTCCGTTTTCCGTCGTGAAAGTTTTCCCCGGCGAAACTCCGGCGAGCTATTTCTCCCTACTCCGACGTCCGTTTTCCACGATTCTTTCTCCGTTGGATTCGTCTCACGAAGGGGAAGGTTTGAGAAGTATTTGCAGGATTTGGTTATGGCTAAAACAAAGGGTCGCAATATTATATATGTATATACGTATATGTATAGGTGTGCGCTGGCTGGTTTGGGGATGGAAAATTTGCAGATCTGAGGCTTGTATTTATAGGTGTAGGTCAAGGGTTTTAGCGTTTATCTGAACAGCTTCATCTGCAGCTCCGTTCTCATCTCAAGCTTCGTAGGGAGTTTTATCCTTGTACGAAGCTTCATTGCCGGCCGACTGGGATAGTACCGAAGGAATTCTTTTTCATTTAGGACTCTGAATGTAGCTCGTTTTAGCTTGTAAATACGTTCCTATCTATATGGTAGCTTTGGTTTTTATCTTCACCGTAGGTTAAAATGATCTGTTTTTTTTTTATACTTCGTACTTTGTAAGTTACGTATTAGATTATACTCTGAATTCTTGTTGCTATTCCTTCTTATTAGATTATACTCATAGTGTTTCTCTTTATTTATTTATTTATTTATTTATTTATTTATTTATTTATTTATTTATTTATTTATTTATTTATTTATTATTACTCTTTTTTTTTTCATTATTATAGCTATATACTACGTACGAAGTAATATGTGTATACAAGCACATATTAGGTTGTGCAGAAAATAGGCTTTACGTATTATAAGTATATTAGTATTAGAAAAGTCAAATTTGTATATGTTGTGTATTTTATTCACAAGTTAAAATAACTTTTATTATTTATGCCATGCGTATGACATCACTTTCATAATTGTTATAAAACGTGACTCCTATTATCGGACCATTTTTATCAGACTAAAACATGTCACAAATGTTAAATTTTTGTTTGACTCACTTAATAATTAAAATGTCGTTTCCGTAACATTTTATCTGACTAATAACAATTATATTTTATTTTTATTTAAATTTTTGGAGTGTCACATTCTACCCTCCTTAAAAGAATGCTTCGTCCCCGAAGCATAAGTTAATATCATTTTGATAACACTTCTAAGTATTACATTCTGCCCTCCTTAAAGAGAGGTTACGCCCTCGCAACTTAAATATTACCTTATTCGAATAACTCAGGATAACGGCTTCGCATGTCATCTTCGGTCTCCCATGTGGCGTTTTCCGCCAAATGGTTCGACCATAAAACTTTCACCATCTTAACCGCCTTTCTTCTGGTCTCACGTGTCTTGCTATCAATAATCTTGACAGGCCTCTCTTCATAAGTCAATGATTCATCCAACTCGACCACCTAAGAAAGTCGAGGTTAGATGTGATACTTTGATCTAATTGTCATAAGGTTACGATTCGTACCTCGGGGCTAAGAATATGGGGTTCGTCGTGGACATACTTCTTCAATTGGGAGATATGGAAAACGTTGTGTACCTACGCATAACACACTTTAGTACTTGAGAGAAGTTTAGTAAGGTATTCACTAACGAGCGGTTATAGTATGTTATACCTTAGCCAACTCGGTGGGTAGAGCTAGACGGTATGCAACTTTTCCCACTCGCTCAAGGATGTCATATGGGCCAATGAACCTCGGGCTTAGCTTTCCCTTCTTTCCAAATCTCATTACTCCCTTGGTCGGGGAGACTCTGAGTAGGACTTTCTCCCCTGCTTCGAATTCGGCTGGTTTCCTCCCCAAGTCTGCATAAGACTTCTGACGATCTTGTGCACCTTTCATCCTTGCTTGAATCATCTTCACTTTGTCCATGGTGTCTTGGAGGTAATCCGGTCCTAGTACCACTTTATCTACCATATCGCTCCAGCATAATGGGCTTCTACACTTCTGACCGTATAAAGCCTCGTACGGAGCCATCTTGATGCTTGCATGATAACTGTTGTTGTACGAGAACTCTATCAAGTCTAAGTGTTCATCCCATGAACCCTGCAAGTCTAGTATGCAAGCTCTCAGCATATCTTCAAGTGTCTGGATAGTTCTCTCCGTCTGTCCGTCCGTCATAGGATGAAATGCAGTGCTTAGCTTTAGTTTGGTCCCCATAGCCGCTTGCAATTCCCTCCAGAATTGTGATAAGAAACGGGAGTCTCGGTCAGACACAATATCTCGAGGCACACCATGATATTTGACCACGTGTTGGATGTAAGCTCTAGCCAGCTTATCCATACTCCAAGTTTCATTCATGGGAATGAATCTCGCAGTTTTGGTAAGTCTATCGACGATCACCCAAATTTTGTCTTTTCCAGACTTTGTTAGGGGTAACCCTCCGACAAAGTCCATCGAGATCGAGTCCCATTTCCACGTTGGCACTTCTAAGGGTTGCATGAGTCCCTTGGGCTTGCATCTCTCAGCCTTGACTTTCTGGCAGTTCAGGCATCTGGCTACAAATTCCGCCACTTCTTTCTTCATTCGCGGCCACCAGAAATTCTTCTTTAAGTCTTTGTATAATTTATCCCCACCTGGGTGTACCGAATAAGGCGTGTTGTGTCCTTCTTCCATGATTTGCTTTTTGACGTGCTCACATTTCATAGGGACACACCACCTGCCTTTATAACGAATACTACCGTCATCATGCATCCTGAATGGTCCATTGATTCCGTCTATCATTCCGGACTTGACTCGCTCCAACTTCACGTCTCCAGGTTGTCCCGCTTTTATCTCTTCATAGAGTGATGAGGTGACGGTCATGGAACGTAACTGTACCTCATTATCCACCTCCCCGGATTCTCTCACTTCCAAACTCAGCTTTTGGAAGTCTCGCCATAGCTCGTTGGGTAGGATCCATGTTGCTCTACAAGAATGCATCGACTTACAGCTTAGAGCATCTGCCACGACATTAGCTTTGCCTTCATGGTATTGAATCACTAAGTCGTAATCTTTGACAAGTTCTAGCCATCGCCGTTGCCGCATATTGAGCTCCTTTTGCGTGAATATGTATTTGAGGCTCTTATGATCAGTGTAAACTTTGCATTGTGCCCCGTACAAGTAATGTCTCCAAAGTTTCAAGGCGAAAACCACCGCAGCTAGCTCTAGATCATGCGTAGGGTAGTTGACTTCGTGAGTCTTCAGTTGCCTTGATGCATAGGCCACCACCTTTCCATTTTGCATCAGAACGCAACCTAACCCTTTCAATGAAGCATCGCTGTAAATCTCAAACCCTTCTGTTCCGGATGGTAGGGTCAAGACTGGTGCGGTTGTCAACCTCTGCTTCAGCTCTTGGAAAGCTTCTTCACACTCGCTACTCCACAGGAATTTAGTGGTCTTCTTTGTGAGGTTGGTCAAAGGCCTTGCTACCTTTGAGAAATCTTTCACAAATCTTCGATAATACCCAGCCAAACCTAGGAAGCTTCGAACCTCTGTCACCGTGGTGGGTGCAGGCCAACCTATCACCGCTTCAATTTTTGATGGATCAACCGAGACACCTTCTTGGGTGATGATGTGGCCCAAGAATGCTACCTGATCCCTCCAGAAGTCACACTTTGAAAGTTTGGCGTAGAGCTGGTTGTCTCTCAAGGTTTGAAGTGTCGTTCTGAGATGCTCCTCGTGATCATTCGGTGTTTTTGAGTACACCAAAATGTCGTCAATGAACACCACCACAAACAAATCGAGGTAGGGTCGGAACACACGATTCATTAGGTCCATAAATACCCCAGGCGCATTAGTTAAGCCGAACGGCATTACAGTGAACTCATAATGTCCGTACCTCGTTCGAAATGCCGTTTTTGGAATGTCCCTCTCGGCAATCCTTACTTGGTGATAACCGGATCTCAAGTCAATCTTGGAAAACGTACTTGCTCCTTTCAGCTGATCGAACAGATCGTCAATGCACGGAAGTGGATATTTGTTTTTGATAGTTGCTTGATTCAGTTCCCGGTAATCAACACACAGCCTCAAGCTTCCATCTTTCTTCTTGACAAATAACACCGGAGCGCCCCAGGGTGAGACACTTGGTTTGATATAACCCTTCTCCAGTAGATCCTGAAGTTGTTCCTTCAGTTCTTGCATCTCCTTTGGTGCCATTCGATAGGGTGCCTTCGAGATTGGTGCAGTCCCGGGCATCAAGTCAATGGAGAACTCCACTTCTCTTTCTGGAGGCATCCCCGGAATCTCTTTAGGAAACACGTCCGGGAATTCATTGACCACGGAAATTTGGTCAATGGTCTTCTCTTCCACCTTTGAGTCTTTGACTACGCACAAGTATGCTTCACATCCCTTCTGAACGTAGCGCTTTAGTTGTTGTATGGTTGCCAGCTTTACTCCCGGGGTGGTGGTCACAACTGTGTAAGATACTCTTTTCCCATTCGGGCCCTTCATGACTACCTTCTGCTCGCCACATAGAATTTTTGCTTTGTATCTTCTGAGCCAGTCCATGCCAAGCACCACGTCTATGTCTTCTAGATCGAATTGAATCAAGTCTCCAGGGAGATTGGTGTCACTTATGAGTATGGGTACATTTGAGTACACATTCCCACAAGCCACAACTTTTTCAGCTGCCGTTTTTACATTCAATTCTATTCTAGTAGTGGGTTCTATTCCCAGTTTCTTAACAAAGCTTGAAGATATAAAACTATGAGAAGCACCAGAATCAAAAAGAACATAAGCAGGCATGGAGTTCACTTGAAAGGTACCTGAAACCACGTCACAAGCATTAGCTTGAGCTTGATTCATCACGTAGATCTTGCCTTGGTTAGGGGTGTTGTTGTTGCCCTTGTGGTTTCCCCCATTCCCACGAGCGTTGTGGTTAGGATTCTCTGCGCCTCCTGGCCTATTTCCTCCAGGATTGCCTCCCTTGTTGATATTGCCCTGGTTCTGGGGAACCCTCCCTTTTCCCACGTGACACTCATATGCTCTATGTCCCATCCGGCCACAATCGTAACATTTCACTGCATTGCCCGCACAATCGCGTCCAGGATGATTCTTTTGGCATAACTTGCAATGATAATATCGTTCACCCGTCGGACCTTTCCCTTGGAAATTCCTTCCTCCTTGATTGCGATTGCGCTCATCTCCCCGCCATTGTGTTCGCTGTTCAGGGGGATTGGGTCTACCTCTCTTCTCCCTTGGTGGTTGGTCATCGTCGTCACCTCTTTTGTTCTTTTTGTAAGCATCACGTTGAAGTCGTTGAACCCTATAGTGAAGAGCAGCCTTCGTATAGGCTTCGTTCAACGTCTGGCATCCTAGCACACTTACAGCCTTCTGAGTGTCGAAATTCAGGCCATGGATAAATTTTCGGGCCTTGCTGATCTCGTCCGGAACTAGAGCACGCGCAAACCGAGCTAACGTCACAAACTTGGCGTAATAGTCTTGGACCGACATATCTCCTTGTTTGAGATACAAAAACTCCTCATATTTCTCTGCTTTGACATGTTCGGGATAAAATCTTTCCCTCATAGCCTCCTTAAATGACTCCCAAGAAAGATTTGGCTGCTGACGTAAGGCTGGTCCATCAGTGGCCCACCAGTTGTCGGCCTCCTGATGCAAGTAGTAGGCGGCGATGTCAACTCGTTGTTCCGCCGGGCAGTTAACTGCCTCGAACAACTTATCAAAGGAGCGTATCCAATCTTCAAGGATGAGAGGATCCTCTTGACCTTGGTAACTCGGTGGATTCCGAGCTGCTACCCTCTTAGAGGCGTCATTGCTGGTTTGCTGGTTCTGGAGAAACGCTGTGCTTAACGTTTGAGCAAAATGTTGCATGGTCAGCGCCAGCTCAGCATTAGTTGGTGCTGTGGGGACTTCTCTCCTAGGCGGCATATTCTAAAAGAAAAGTACTTAAGTGCTAAGGTATTGTCTAGTAATCAAGCTGCTATGCACATTAAATCATAACGTAATCCGACATACAAATGATCACATAAGTATTGGGAAATTTGTTCAACATATAGAAGCAATACGAAATCATCCTCACCGCAGCCCTAGAAAGGTCTTTCCTTAATCATTTTCATTTCCTAAATTTGATAAAAATATTTTGCAAGGATCTCCACTTGAAGGTATGATTCCCACGGTTTTCGTCAAAGATTTCGAACAACGAAGTTTCAGCACAAGGAGAAATTCCCAGTTAGTTGGACGAGCGCAAAGGCTCAATTAGGCACCAACCAGCTTAGACTGTTATCGTCTTTGTGACAGAATTTCTCCCTACGACCTATTACTTCGTGATCTAGTCTCTTCAGAAAACCAACCGCTCTGATACCAACTTGTAACACCCCCAAATTTCCCACCCAAAAATAATACTTTATTCAAAATAAATATCAAATTTATTTAAAAACATCAGAATTGTGCAGCGGAAATCAAAAGGGAAATAGGGGTGCTACCGCCACACTCGATTCTCTCTTAATCGAGTGCACAGGCTAAAACAACTTAAATTTCAAAATCAAAAGTTCACTTATTAAAGTTATTGAAAAAGAAATTTACAATGATTTACTAATAATGTTTTCTAGCGAAAGCTCTCTCCCGAAGTCAACTTCAACATCGATCAACTCAACACCTGTACAAAAATCATGTACAGAAAGAAAAATAAAAGAAACACACATTAGCAATAATGCTAAGTAAGTTCCACCTAACCTTTTAAAATAATAATAAATACTATATATAAATTCGTACAACCTCATAAAATATTTTTCAAAACACTTTATAAATCATAAAGAATAAGTAAACGATATCTATATAAAATCCCAATCACATAATTAACTCGTAAACCATAATAATTCCAAAATACATGAAACACCAAAATTCTCCTCTTTTGAATTTCTCCCAAAATCACTTTGTACCTAACTTTCTAGTAATTTAGAAGGGCGGTGCTCAACACTTTGGTTGAGCCCGGTGGTCCGTTGTTAGGTACGACCACCCCGGGACTATCGCCGGTACCACAACTGCTCCTTGGAAACGGAAACAACTACTTTAAGTGTGCACACCCCCTAAAGGTATTCCAAGCCCTCCGGGTTAGTAAGTCGATCCGGGTAGCCGGGATGTTTTCTACCAACTACCCCACCTCAAAACCTGAATGATTAGGAGCTACTACTACCATTACTACTCAAAAGCCGGGATGTTTTCTACCGACCGTCAATTCACCTCAAACCAAAACCACAAAAATTGAGTAGTAGTAGACCTAACCATCCTCCACATTTTAAGGGACGTGGAAAACCAACACCACAGATTTCTCCCGTGATGCTCACCTTTTATAAAAATATTTATTTTTCTCTAAATCAATCGAAGTTTATACTTCAAAAATTCCCTTTTTATCAAACTCCAACAAAGATAACAAATTACGTACTATTACAAAATATCCCAAAATCGTATACAATAATTTATCTCAACAAAACAGTACATCAACTAATATCTCAAATACAACCCTTTCATATAATAATATTCACTCAAATTCAGCACACATAAATTCAATTCTCAAATATGCACACAAAAATATGTAAAAGAAATCACGAAGAAAAAGAACTAATATCGGTTGACGTGAAACTTACCTTAAATCCCGATGATCCTAATTCTCTTCTTCAGTTCCGGTCTCTAAATATTCACCTTTTTAATTAAGATGATATAATTAGTCACTTATTCTCTTTGTAATTATTTTACCCGATTTTCTCCTTTTATTTTATTATTCGAATTTATTAACTTAATTTATTAGTTATTCGAATTATTTGATTAATCATTTTTTTATTAATCAAATTACCTTATTAATTCAGCCATTAATTACAATATTTGAATTCTAATATTAAATACAATATCCGAATATAATTAACTACCACATCCTATTTTTTTATTCAATAACCACCATTAATTTACTCTACTAAAAGAATATTATTTAATTACTTTATTTATATTCACCCATTAATTTATGAGTTCGAATATTTTAAATATTTATATGAGGTCCGAATCTCTAATAATCAATCATAAAAATTATTAATTGAATTAGTCCACTAATTACGTAATTAAGTTATTTATTAAATCTACATATAGTCAATTATTTATGTTAGCTAATCCAACCTTATTTTATTTTCCTTATTTTATTCCAATATCATTTTTAGTCCAGAATATTATTTTTCAATCTCAGTGATTTATTTATTTCACCATTAATATTAATATTTCCTTATTTAATTACTTAACTAGTTTTATATGGCCCAATTAAATTAAATAGACTAAGAATCGACTTTATAAATTAAAAACCGTCTATAACTATATTTTGGGTCTATATTTGACCTAGGTTGTCCAGATATCTATTTTATAATTATTTTCCATAATTATTCCTTTAATTTCATATATCTATTAATCGGTTTAATTACAATTAAATATATTAATCCTTATTTTTATTAATTATAAATGGTCCATAAGGTCCTAGTTAGTCATATATTTATCCTAGTTTATTCCAATATTTTTTTCATAATTGTTTTCGCTATTTAGTTAATTATTTACTAAATGTGTATAAACTGGCCCAATTACCATTAAATCCATTAAAAATAGCTAAAAAATTTATTTTTCAATTCTGGTTGGTCCGAATATGTATATTTATACTAGGTATTTAATTTATATTTTTCCAGATTTTATTTATTTCATTTACTATTTTATTTTTAATTTTTATTCCAACCGGGCCGGACTGGCCCAAATTCTTTTAAATTTTTCTGGCCCATATTAAAACAATAGCCCAAGAAGACAGACCCCAGCCTATAGGCTGGGTCGTCTTCCTCGCCAAAACGCCGGAAGATGGTGAAAACGCAGGAAAAAAAATGCTTACTTCACCGGACGTGTGAACAGCGGCGGTGCACTCCTTCTGGGACGGCGAAGATTGGTGGTGGGTTGGCGGCAGCGGCGGCTCCTCTTTCTACTCCGTTTTCCGTCGTGAAAGTTTTCCCCGGCGAAACTCCGGCGAGCTATTTCTCCCTACTCCGACGTCCGTTTTCCACGATTCTTTCTCCGTTGGATTCGTCTCACGAAGGGGAAGGTTTGAGAAGTATTTGCAGGATTTGGTTATGGCTAAAACAAAGGGTCGCAATATTATATATGTATATACGTATATGTATAGGTGTGCGCTGGCTGGTTTGGGGATGGAAAATTTGCAGATCTGAGGCTTGTATTTATAGGTGTAGGTCAAGGGTTTTAGCGTTTATCTGAACAGCTTCATCTGCAGCTCCGTTCTCATCTCAAGCTTCGTAGGGAGTTTTATCCTTGTACGAAGCTTCATTGCCGGCCGACTGGGATAGTACCGAAGGAATTCTTTTTCATTTAGGACTCTGAATGTAGCTCGTTTTAGCTTGTAAATACGTTCCTATCTATATGGTAGCTTTGGTTTTTATCTTCACCGTAGGTTAAAATGATCTGTTTTTTTTTATACTTCGTACTTTGTAAGTTACGTATTAGATTATACTCTGAATTCTTGTTGCTATTCCTTCTTATTAGATTATACTCATAGTGTTTCTCTTTATTTATTTATTTATTTATTTATTATTACTCTTTTTTTTGCATTATTATAGCTATATACTACGTACGAAGTAATATGTGTATACAAGCACATATTAGGTTGTGCAGAAAATAGGCTTTACGTATTATAAGTATATTAGTATTAGAAAAGTCAAATTTGTATATGTTGTGTATTTTATTCACAAGTTAAAATAACTTTTATTATTTATGCCATGCGTATGACATCACTTTCATAATTGTTATAAAACGTGACTCCTATTATCGGACCATTTTTATCAGACTAAAACATGTCACAAATGTTAAATTTTTGTTTGACTCACTTAATAATTAAAATGTCGTTTCCGTAACATTTTATCTGACTAATAACAATTATATTTTATTTTTATTTAAATTTTTGGAGTGTCACAATTCCGATCCAAAAGATGGATGCTCTTTCCATAGGAAATGACACTAGACCTCCAATCCTAAGAAGAGGAGAGTACAATGTTTGGAAGAACAGGTTCCTTAACTTTCTCGAAAGCAAAGATCAATCTTCTAGTTTGCTGGACTCGATCACTAATGGACCTGCTCAACTTCTGATAGCTATT